TCTTCCTCTTAGGCATAGTAACTACCCTCTTTTTCTGAAGTCTTGATGCCAGGCAATATTCCCAATCTAAACACTTTTGACATTCTTCCCTCCTGCCCTCTCCCTCACACCAAAAAAAGAGAAGAACACCTTATAGAAATGCCCATATCAGGTGCTAAGAGACTTTAAAGGTGTCCATCTCCTTGCATGCCAAGATTATGCCAATTATGTATTTAAAGTCTCAGTAAAAGAAGATCACCACTGAGTCCATCACAAGTAAGAAGTTCCCTATCATTTTGCTACTGATGTGTCCCAAATGGGTTCCAGATATGCTGAGATGGAGCTTGCCCAACTCTTAGGTGGCCAGTGTTTGCCCCAATGAGCCATCTGTTTTTGCTGTGTGTCATGACTTTAAAAGGAGTGGTAAGATCTGCTATAAGTCATCTCCTAAAATGTCTGGAGCTTGCTGGTGGTGATAAATGAGAGAACTCATCTTGATAGAGACAGAGAAAAATGGCAAATGAGACATGTGGAAGTCAGAGGGCCACCCAAGGGTTAGAGATATACTTGGTGACTGTGGAAGAATGAATCTGGCTAGTCCATACAGAGACCCAATCCCTGGACTCTTTAGCAAGGCCCTATTTGCAGCTGAACGAACAGCCACAACTGTGAACTTAACACTAGTCAAGATCAAGTCTGCGTCAACTCATTCAAGATGCAAGGCAGACTCACCCCTTTGAACTTTGTTCCTACCATGACCATTTAATTATTTCATGAGTCCTTTCTAATTCCAAGGAAAAATTAACTGGCTTCAGAAGCACAATATCTAACATTTTTTCAGGTTAAAATATTTTTTATGAACTGCACAAAACTAATAGTGCCTTAAAGAAACTACACAAAGGCAATGTCAGCATTTTCAGTTTAAGCTCCCACTTTCCAAAGCTTTACACAGACTCTAGAAATTTGCTTGAGGGTGAAACTTGCATATGGTGTCTGAGCCCCTGATTGTCTGCATCTCATTTCATAGTTACTTAAAAATGAGTCCTTCACATTCACTGCAGATTTGGCATCTGTAATTTTTTAGAAATAAAAATGGCCTTAATAGCAAGTAGTTTCAGAGCTTAATGTCAGTGTACACAAATCTCAGACAGAGAAGTCCCTAATACCTACCCAAAATCCTATTTTATAGATTCTAGTATGATAATATTGTATGTTAAAGGGAAAGGAAAATAAGGGGATAGAAACCAGGAAATGTTGATGTCCTTGGAAGAGCACCAGATATACTCCAGCTGCTTTCACCATTTTTCCTGTACCAGACCCCTCCTCTGCCCTATTTCCTACAGCTGCCTCATGGACTTGTGTTATAGGTCATGCCAACATATACAGGCTTTAGTGTCTGAGGGCTATATCTAAATGATCACTAAACAGCAGCTAAGAAGCTCACTTTACTTTTTGAATTTCCATTTGAAGGGACTGAATTCAGTGCTCTCTGAGGCTTGAGCCATAACATATATGGGGGAGAGACAGTTTTTAGACAAAACCAAGAAAAACTGCCCTTGGAAGCAGTGCCCATCACCAAGCCCAGGAAGGCAATGTAAACTCTAGATCAACACCTGCATGGAAGTCTAAGGAGCCAGTCCAAAGGTCAAAGGGAAAAGCTAATAGGCAATTGTGGTTCTCAGCAACTGCGTAGAACTGCCAGGGATTTGGGCCATAGACTCCAACTACAGAATGTGGAGGAGTGGGAGCCAACCTAGAATTCAGAGCTCCGCACCAATCCCAGAGTGGGGTAGCTGGAGCCCTGCCTAGGAGTAGGGGGGCATGCTGCGAGCTTCTCACGTGGTTGCCTCAGTGGCTAACTCTTACCTAAGCAGATCCTACTTCTGAAATTTAGCTGTGCTTTTTGTGGACAATCAATATAGTGTGGGCTCAGAGCATGGTCTTTGTGGTTGACCAAGCCTGGATTTTTATTTATAGCATATGACTTGGGCAAATTAATTAGCCTCTTTGAACATGGTGTGATACTACATTTGTAAAATAGCAAAATAGTTCTTACCTTATAAGGTTTTTGTGGAGATGGAAAGTGATGACACAAAGGAAGCAATGAACTCTTAGTAGCTATAATAAACCAAAACCAGTTACCATCAAGTTGATTCTGATTGGCAACCCCATGTGTGTCAGAGATGAAAACTCTATAGGGTTTTCAAGGGCTGATTTTTCTGAAATAGATTGCCAGGTCTTTCTTCCAAGTTACTTCTAGAAGTACTCAAACCTCCAACTTTTTGATTAGCAGCCAAGCACATTAATTATTTTCACCACCCAGGGATTCTGGTATCTATAATAAACCTGCTGCCATTGAGTCAATTCTGACCCATGGCAACACTATGTGTTACCAAGTAGAACTGCTGCACAGGGATTCTTGGCTATAACTCTCAATAGAAGCAGATCACCAGGACTTTTGTCAGGTGCCACTGGGTACCAGGGTTTGAACTGCCATCTTTTCAGTCAGTAGCCCAGAGCAAAGTGTTTGTGCAACCCAGGGACCTTCAGTAGCTGTAATAAGCAGTCAGAATTTTGGTGAACCATCTTCACTAACAGGGAAAAAAGTTGCTGAGCACTCTTTGGTTCAAGAGTAAGTAGAACTGAGAATGCTGGGAGTAAGTTATTATGGCTGGCAGCCCTGGCATGTAGGATCTAACACATCTCAGCTGTTGCATCCAATGATCATTGATTCCCATCTCCAAAGACTGGGTCAGTACTGATGAGGATGCACTTACTTCTGTGTGGAACTGAGATATCTCAATTCAGAATTGTGCAAGTACAGCATGTGAACCTGTTAAATTTAAAGATTATTGTATATCCAGGCTAATATGAAGAAAGGACTCTGGATCTGAATAGCAGTCTTTCTTTTTTACAGAGTTCTGGTAGAGCCTCTCCATGCAAACAGCTGATCGTTTCTCAAACAGGCCACCATTTCTCAAAAATGAATAAAAAAAGATCATGAATAATCTATAAGGCTGGTTAAAAGTAAAGTTACAAGGTGGAGGTCCTGAGATGAATGAGGGCTAAAGTTAAGCCTTAGTGGTCCTGGGAGAGGAAAGCATCACTGAGACATTGGTCTATAACCCCTCCCTGAGATCTGACAATATATGAGACATTAAATGGGCACCATGCCAGAGAAAGGGGACCTGCTTCTTCCTATTAAATATCGCATTGGAGACTGACATCTCTCTTTTTATCATCCAAACTTCTTTAAAAAACCAAACACTAAACCTACGAGAACCTACAAAGTCTGACTTTCTCCCTTCCCACTCTTGTTTTTATTATACTCACAGCCATAGAGTAGATTCGAACCCACAGAATACCTACAGGACAGAGTAGAACCTCCCCCAAAGGGTTTCCAAGGCTATAAATCTTTATAAAAGCAGACTGGCTCATGTTTCTCCCATTCAGCAGCGGGTGTGTTTGACTTTTGGTTAGCAGCCGAATGCTTTAACCACTACACCACCAGAACTCCTTTGTTTTTATCATAGTATTAGAAAATTCCCAGAATTCTACTCACAGCAAAACGGTTTTCTGGAGGAGGGTAGAGGAATAGGTAGATTCTGATGTTTGGATACTAATTTCTGAAGATTAAATGAGATTGTGTATAAGAAATACTTAATTTTAAACTATTTACCTATGAGATATCTACTAATATCTAATAAATATACTAAACACTTTGCATATTCACTATTCATTCATTTATCTAACACAGTATGCTAAGCATCATTTGAAGTTCTCGGGCTTTGATAATGGACATATTTTAATCCTCAGAGTAACCATGTAAGGGACCTGAGACCCCAAGAGGTTAAGAAACTTTTGCAGGGTCACACTGTTATTTATTGGTAGAGACCACATTCCAAGCCACCGTTCCATAGACCACCAAAGAAACGTTAGCTGTTGAGCCTCTCAACACCAAGATTACATCTCATTCTATTATATTCCCTAAACAACACTGAGTTGTGCCCATTATGCAGTCTTACTCTTTACATCAAGAGGTTGATGTAAACTTTACTAAGCTGTTTCATTCCAAGAATATCATATAAACAGGAGGCAGCAAGATCTTGAAAGCTGTCTTGTCAGCTTGGGTAAACCAAACTACCATCTTGGAAGTTAGATATCTCACAATTTCTTTAGCTATTATATTTTTTCTCTATCTATAAAATTTGTTTTGAACATGACACGTATTTAGCAGAATATGCCACACACATGATGCAATTTGTTCTAGGAAATAGTGGGATCCCTGTGACAAGAAGTCCAAAGGGTACTAATGAGTTTTGTCATTGTATAAAGTAAATGACAGAAAAAACTTTTATTGTATAAACTGAAAGATAGTTTTCTCATGAAGACCCAAATGACAATTGGGTCAAATGAAGCACACATGCTAAGTGATGTTACAGTGGGTAAGGTACCCTCTGGGGTACCCTCTGGGATGACCCTTAGAACATGTAAATTTCTTGTCCTGACAAATTGAGAGGCTAGAGATTTAGTTAACTGCTGAATGGATAATAATTCATGCAAGTGATACACAATTACCTTTGTTAGGACATCCCTTCAAATTGTTTTTTGTGTTCATTACTCATTTTATTTCAGTTAATAATTTTCACCTAATTGGCTGAAGTCATGTAGTTCAGATTGAAATAAGGGTAATCAAAAATGATTGTTGGTCTCTAATGAATGTTCCTTTTCTACTATAACAATAGACAGCCATCCAGAGTATATGTACCTGTGACTATTGCTGCCTGTAATCGGCTGGCCTTCTTACCTCATAGGGAACATTTTCATGTTCAGTTAATTGTCTGTTTTGTAGACTTCACTAGAAATTTATGATACCAGTAATATTATTACCAAATGTTTGCCATTTTTCTTTCTCTTAACTCCTTTCCTCACGATATCTCCTTGCCCTGAGATCATGCCCAACTATACATGATCCTTGTATGTCAGCATTCTCTAATCCTTACTTTGTTACTTTGTCCCAGAATCATGCTGCCAGATGAGAACACTAGACAGTGGGATTGGAACCTTCCCACTGCCAGACTCGGGAAATCGCTCAACAGGACGGTACATATGCAAATCAGACTCCCCAGAAGACACAGAGCCCATCCTGTCTGTCCAGCCAGCCCTTTCTGCAGCTTCTTCCATCAGAGCCCAAACCCTTGACCAAGAAGTGCCTTCCTCTGCAGACAACCAGGGCTCTGTGGATATTACCATTGTCCATTCCACATCTGACCCCATTACCACCAGAGGGATGCGACCTCTTCAAAGTCGCCTCCCCAAACCAGCATCCTCAGGTAAAATGCCAATTACCTTTCAAATTAGATTGCTTTCCTACCCACTGTCATGTACTTTCTGAAAAAAATGGAAAATAGGCAGCTCACCAGGAGGTGAGCAAGTCAGTGGCCTCTGCTGGATAGAAATGCTGATGAGTGAATGTCAGTACATGTCCTCAACCTAAAAGCAAAACAGCATATACTAAGCATCATCTATAGGATTATATTAAGTCATGCACACATATATAAAAAAGACGAACATTTAAGTACCAGTATATGGATATTTAAATTGGTTAAGAAAAAACCACACAGACATTCATTTATAGGATTTTGTCTTTCAGAACTTAACTTTGAATATAGACCAATTTAAGCCCAAGATATAAATTTAGCTGAAATATTGTTTGCACTCTAGCAAGAAACATGTCTTGTGACATAGTCCTGTACTTTTCAAATATATTTATATGTTGAACTCTAAAAGACTTAGTTTGATATATCAGCAGTAGATTGTGCATTAACTGCAATAGAGTAGAGCAGACCTTCTCGTTGAGAAGGACCATTCTTTCTTGCAGTCAATTGAAGCAAGCTCTCATGAATAAAGACAGTGCCAGGGAAGGGGGTCAAAGTTTTTTCATTGTTCCCGAAAGATTAAAAATAATTATTGTAGCCCAAGATGACACTAAATAATTTTTAACTTGTATGTCTTATGTTGCATTTACAACTTGTTTAAGTATATGAAATGGAACTCTAAAATTACAGGCTTTCATTTATGATTTCATGAATAGAAAGGAGGAAGCCACGAGTAGAGACCACATTACAGGCTTCAGAGAAATTAGAAAAGAAGACTTTTAATTAAACATCTTTGAATAAATGGGATTGGGCTATTCCCATGGCTGAGTTCTTCCTTCATTCAGTAATACCAACTGCCGTGAATGTTCCATTGTATACTTCTGCTCATTCCAAGCCAAGGCTACATTTTAAAAGGCTGTAATGCATATTATTTTTGAAATAAATGCATTGTTAATTAATGACACAGCTTCCAGAGATTCAGGGGCGAAATCTTAGTTATAGATTATGTGCTGCATGCCTGAATAGTCACATGTGTGACCTCAATTCAGCAGCAGACTGGCGAGTAGACTCCGTGATTAAACACTGTCATTATAACAAATTGAATAGAAACCAGAAGCCTTGAATTGCTTCATAAGAAGGGGATAGGAAGGAGATTGTTCTGATCGTGCTGCTAATATTCATTCACTGCACTGGTTTTGTAAGGGTTGTGTCTTAATTAAACTGTCATGAAGAATTGGTTAAAAACAAAAAAAGTAATATATGGTAGAGAGTGAGGTCAACAGACTGCAGGTCATTTTTTTGTGTCATCTACCTTGAAGCTTCCTGTCCTTTGAATGGTTCCATCACTGTGGTCCAGAGGCAGGGACCACCAGCTTTCCAAGATGTCTCTCTTCTCTGTGGCCATTGTTGTTGTTGTTGTTGTGTGCCATCGAGTCGAACCCGACTCATAGCGACCCCTCCTTGGGTTTCCGAGGTGGTATCACTACAGAAGTAGATTGCCCTATTTAGCAGAATATGCCACACACATGATGAAATTTGTTCCAGGAAATAGTGGGATCCCTGTGACAAGAAGTCCAAAGGGTACTAATGAGTTTTGTCATTGTATAAAGTAAATGACAGAAAAAACTTTTATTGTATAAACTGAAAGACAATGACTCCTTTTGAAAACTAGGGGATGGGGAACAGACTGAGACAAAAGGAAAGTGAAACAAGAACCTCTTTAGAGCATGCACTTCTGCTTAACATATGCATTTTATGTGGTTATTCTTTTACCCCCATATCAAAAAGGGAAGCAACTGTACAAACGCTTCAATGCTGATGAAAACAGTTACTTAGACTGTGCTCACAGCAGTATGCTGTTGAGAGACTGTCCCTGCCATGTCCTGTTGATAATTGTTGAGGCTGGAAGGCAATAACAGCAATTCTCCTTTCTGGCATGATGAAGGAATGCACTCTGTAGGTTAATCTAGTATTATAGGTAGTGAAGAAACTTTCTTCATTTATACTATGTTAATTGATAAGGCCTTATTATACCCTTAGGAGCTCTAGTGGTGCCGTGGCTAAGACATTCTGCAGCTAACCCAAAGATCGGCAGTTCAACCCACCAGCCGCTCCACAGAAGAAAGATGAGGGAATCTGCTTCCATAAAGATCTACAGCCTTGGAAAGCATATGGGGCAGTTCTACTCAGTCCTATAGGGTAGCTATGAGTCAGAATTGACTTGATGGCAGTAGGTATTATCCTTTCTACTCAAAGTGTGGTCCATGGACCAGCATCATGAACATCATCTGGGAGGTTGTCAGAAATGCAGAATCTTAGACCCCAACACAGACCAATTTAACAAAAGTTCCATCGATTATTGTAGAGTCAATTCTGATTCGTGGCAACCCCGTATGTGTTAGAGTAGAACTGTCCCATTGGGTTTTTAGTGGCTTATCTTTGGAAGTAGAATACCAGGACTTGCTTCTGAGGCCCCTTGGGGTGGACTTAAAACTCCAATTTTTGGATTAGCAGCTGACAAGTTAACTATTTGTACCACCAAGGGACTCCAACAAAAAACATTCACATTCCATCTGGAGGAACACTGCCTTACAAGATGTTCAAGGGCCTTAGGCCTCAGAGCAAAGTTTCCTCAAAATGTGCTATTCAAAAGATGGTAATAGGTATCACAGGAAAATACAAGTTCCCTGCTCAAGTCCCTCCTTGGGTTTCTGAGGTGGTATCACAATGGAAGTAGATTGCCCAACCTTCCTTCCGAGGAGTGGATGGTGGATTTGAACCACCAGGCTTCTGGTTAGCAGTCAAATGCCTTAGGCACTGCACCACCAGAGCTCCAGTGCTCAAGTCTGTTTGGGAAAGACTGCACATTATAATCTTCTTTTTGGAAACCATGATATTGGTACAGTGAAGGCTCTGAGAAGGCCTCAAAAAACAGAAACCTGTTTATTATTTAATGAATAGCATTATTTGAGGAATAACCTCAGTGTTTCCCAGACAGTTTGCCCACTGAACCCTTTTAACATTCAAAGTCTATCAAGGTCTTAGGGAAAAGTAGCCAGAAATCATTTTTCCTTAGAATTACCAGGGTGGTAGTCCTCTGGAGAGACATGTAATTATGCAGATGGTTCAGTTAACACAGTCTTGCTTATGACAGAATGCCCAAGGAAACCCAGCTTTCACTGAATTTGGACCTTTTTATTATTTCTGAATGTTTTCCCCATTTCCCTTCCTAAAGTTGTAAAGGGTTGTCGAAAGCTAGTCTGTGACTTCATACACATTTCCTTCTATAGGAAAACTCACTTCCCAAAAGCAGAATGAAGCAGAGCCGAGGCCTCAGACTTGCCTATCATTTGAATATGCTGAAACCACAATGGCAAGTGAGCCAGACTGGGCGGCTGCAAACTCTGCTGCTGAGACCCAGGTAAGGAACAAATGGATGGGAGGATGCATATACCTGTTGGTCCTGACTGCAAAAAGTAAACTCGTTAAACAACTTTTTTGAGAGATGTAATTTTCCATCAAATTTGCTGTTGGCTTACTGAGTAAAAACAGATTCAAGGCTCACCTTTTCCCAGAATTAAGTAACACATTGAGTCCTTGGGACCCCTTTACTCTGAGGAGTTCAAAATGATCACTGATCTACATGAAGATTAGTGAGGTATAGATGCTCTCCCCTGATTACACATTGTGGAACAGCTCACTCTCCCAAACCACAGGACACTATTAATAATGATTTTTTTCATTATCTCATCATTTAACTTAACCTTTACATTACTCCTTTGAGAGTGGTAAAGCAGATATAATTATATCCTCTTTATGGATGAATAAACAGGCCTGGAATGGTCAAGTGACTGCTAGGCTCATCGAGACTTGATTTCTTGAATCTCTATCATTTTGACTATGGGATCTTCCCCCACCCACGTACAGGCCTCCTGATATGTGAGTGGACCTGGGGAGGAGCTTGTGTCCCAGCAACTCAGCTTACCCACCCACCCCACCCCACGCCCATCTGCCCCCAGTGGTTACTTGTATTCCTTCTAATCTCCCTTTCATTTATACCTTGTAGCTTGTTACTTGGACTATGTTTAGCCTGTTCACTCTTTCTCAGCTCATCCTGGGGCTGACCCCCTGCAGAGTCTTAATGGTAGCTGGCAGTGAACAAGGTAGAGGGAAGGACATGTTGTTCAATCACTAGAGCTGCCCATCCCTCACTTATCCCTCTCACTTCTGCTGCTTTTAGCATTCCCATCCAAGCATCAGGAGCCCCACCACTATTTTCACTGGAGTCTCTGGACAACTATAATGAGGGAATACTCAAACTAACCCACATCTGAGATTTCCCCACACCTGGCGTGGCTGATTCTTCTTTCAGCCTTTAGCACCTCAGTATGGACACCCTGGATGAGTAAAATTGGAAGTACCCTGGGGCCTCAGCATCATCTTACAAAGGAAGACACAAACTCTCAAAGAGAAGCTGGATTGTACCCAAGGTCCAAGGGAAAGTTACCATGGAGCCAGACCTAGAACACAGCCCTCTAGACTCCACATCCATCACTCACAATAGCTGCTTCTGCAGAACATGAGTCTGAGAGGCAAATGAAGACATCACTGTACTCATGCCTTAAGTTAGACACAAAAGTTTTAGGACTCCTCAAAATCAGTGGTTGAGTGGGCATTGGGATCACCAGAAGGCTTTGGTAAAACGTATCTTGCCACCTTCTCAAGTTTTGAATCATACATCTGGTGTGAGGTCTAAATATTTCTAACAAGTTTCCGCTGATGTTGCTTGGTCTATAGAACACACTTTGAGAAGCAAAGCCCTTCTCTAAAGGACTGACTGTGCTTGTTTTGGGGGCTGGAATATTGAGAAAATCCTGACAGACACCCGGTGTTGGAGAGAGAAAGCACTTCAGGAACAACAGGTGGTGACAGTGGCAAAGAAGAGAGAAGTCATTCCTAAAAATTTAGGGAAGAAAGAGGGTTTCTCCACACTGGCCAAGGTAGAGCCCTGTTTCTTCTCCGTGCAATGGTGGGCACTCCTCACATAACATACACAGACAGCAACATGTATATCCCTCGAAGGACCCCTTCATCATCATCTTGCACCAACTTCATCACTTGGAAAGCCTACCCCAACTTGTAAGAGTCACCACTGTGGTGTGGATCTTAGAACCCTGCTTCACTGACTGCAAGACTGAGAAAGTTTGCAGCAAGAGTTAAACTATGTATTTCCAGGGTCCAGCACAGCACCTGGTTCAATTAGTGTGTGTTGAATGGAGGGATGAAAGAATTCATCTCATTATACCCAGAAAGTATTACTGCAGTTCTTTTGGAACACTAGACACAGGGTTACCTAGAGCCATAGGCAGTAGATCATGGGCTCTTTCCCTAGTATTTTCCTGCTAGATAATCCCCCAATACCTGGATCTGTTGTATTGAACACTATGAACCCAGTATAGTGTCCCAGCACATAGTAAGTACTCAATAAATATCTGCTCAGTGGGTGAATAAGTAAAGGAATTAAAAAAAAAAAAAAACTGAATAAGTGACTGCTAGAAAGTATGACTGCTGCTGAGGGAGTTTTCATCTTAAAATGTGTTTTATAATCCCCAAAACATAACTACCTCCTAACCAACCCTAGGAACCTCTCCCATGTGTATGTATCTGAAACATTGTCATGGATGGAGAGTAATAGACTCTAATGAGACAGTCTGGAAACATATAAGCAAATCCCAAACACCCTCAATTCTATACACAGGAGTTGCAGTCCTAAATCTAGTAATCCACTTGTGTGCACAGTAGGAAACACTGTTGATACAGTGTTAGCTGCCTCAGATATCGCTGAATGTGTCATGATCTCACACCAGTGTCAACCCCCAGGGTCAGGTTATGTGAGCATGTGAGCAAAAAGGAAAGCTGAGTCCCTTGACCTATGAACCACCAGTAAATTAGAGAATTATAAGGGGCCAGCACTTGCTTATTTTCCTAAAGGCTACTGTCCTTTTTGGGGACTGGAAGAAAGTTATAAATTAGGTAAACATTTATTCTTTGCTCCCAAGGTTGATTTTTGAGAGACCCTGATGCTTCAAAGCCACTGATAAGATCAGTTAAATAAACAGGCCATTAGTCTTGGAAGAGCAGCTCATAATAGGCACTCAAGAAAAATAAGACCCTATAAAGAAGGAAGCAAAATGCAGAGCCAGTAACTGTGGCAATGTTACTGGGCCTGGCACAATGGCAGAGTGTGGTTGATGGCTTCATTATTGTGGGTCCCGTTTCTACGGCTCTGGTAATTGGCTAGACTGCTCCAGCTCCAAGTAAGGTAGACAGATTGACAAACCAGAGTTGTTCTTCTGGGAGGGGCTGTGCAATGGGAAGGCAACTCTGCACACAATGACAACCAAGTATGAAATGTTTCACATCACCACAGGATGTTCTGCCCCTTCTTAATTTTCATTAATAATCTTAACAGTCTCATATTACTCATTTAGGACAAGGTACCCAGAGTGTGTGCGTACTCTGCCAGCCGTGGCAGTGGTAGTGACAGTGACCTGGACTGTGGAAATAATGGTTTTGGAGCTGGAAGGGGAAAGTTAGTGAAAACAATGAAGAGCGCCACCCAAGGTAACGCCCAGCGAGCACACGGGACATCCAGGCGCATTTCTTTCTAGGAAGCCACTGATTATGCCTTTCATTGTGCTCTGTTTCCCTCACCCTTGATTTTATATCTTAGCTCCTCTTTACTCCTGAGATTTAATATTCTGGTATGTACAGAAGATTATCTATGCACATCAATTTGTTTTCTGGTATAATCTTCATGACATTGCAGTGCAGTCTATAAGAACTGCATTTCCAAATCTGGCATTTCCAAAAAAAATCTCCAGTTGAGTTATCTTGGTAATGAAGAGATGACCATAAAGATAACTTTGTTCTTAATCACATACTTTGGCAAGTTCCTTGGTCCTGTGAGCTATGGACTGAGTTGTTCAGGCTTTGTTGGTGTTATGCTGTGTGGCTCTGCACCTGTTAGCCATGCCATTATGAGCAGACCTGCTTATAGGATTGAAGCTGCCTCACTTGATTTTCCTGTGAATCAGACTTGGTAGAAAAACCATCATTCTGAGCATTAAAAAATATGCCTATTCAGATGCCATTACCTTACATATACAATGGGACAGAGGAACCCTTAACACAAAATAGGATCTGGCATCTGTTTTCCTTCTAATCATTCTGGATTGTTAGAAATATTTCAGTAATTCAGTGGAGAATCATTCTTTTCATACTAATCAATTTTTTCTAATACTGATTTCTAAACTATATGATGAAACCATGATTTTTTTTTTTTTTAAACAAATCTGATATGTTTCTTCAGAAGGCTGGTAGTTCAAACCCACCAGCCACTCCTTGGAAGGAATAATGGGCAATCTACTTCCATAGAGATACCACCTTGGAAACCCAAGGAGGGGTCGCTATGAGTCGGGACCAACTCGATGGAAGTGAATTTGGTTTTTTTGGAAATGTTTCTTTGTTGTTGTTGTTGTTTTCGTTATGTGCTGTTGAGATCCGACTCATAGCGACCCCTCCTTGGGTTTCCAAGGCAGTATCACCACAGAAGTAGATTGCCCAACCTTCCTTCCGAGGAGTGGCTGGTGGGTTTGAACCACCAGCCTCTGGTTAGCAGTCAAGTGCCTTAGGCACTATGCTACCAGAGCTCCCATGTTTTTTTTAGTGGGGAGAAAAACAGTAATCTTGTGTTTTTCCAGTTGTCAAAGTTTCTTTGTATTTGCAACATCTAGGGGCAAGGGGCTACATGACAGACATGTAGGAGTAGCCCATTAATCTGAAGCCATCACAGTGTTCTTTCTTCTTACATATTATCAGAGGAGTAAGATGAATGGTTAAGTCATACAAAGTCTTACCAAGAAGAAAAGCAATGAATGCCCTTGACATTTTAGATAGGTTGTTGTCCTCATTGGTTTTCTGTGGTTCATCAGTGTCCTTCTGGTTGTGACAAGTGAAGGAGAAGGGATGTCATCACCTTGAGCCTTGCCCTGTGAAAACCCCTAAGATCAAGCTAGGCTCCTGGTCCAACCGTTTCCCTTGAAGTCATGTGGGTCCACAGATGAATAATCTCACCTTGCCAACCCTCAGCTTCCCTATCCAAGAACAATTTCCGGGCCCCTTCCAGCTGTAAGATACTATTCATTCATTTATTGAACAAATATTTGTTGAAAGCCTCTTCTGGGCCAGCTGTTCCAGCTGCTTAGGGTACATCAAATGGACAAAGATTCCTGCCAGACAATAGACAATAGAAATTCAAGGAAATGTATGTAGTTTTTTCAAAGAAAGTAAGTGCTAGGAAAAAGTCAAAGTAGATCAAGGTAAAGGTGATCAGGAATGTGAGGGGTGAAAGAAAGGAGGGTGGAGGTTAAATTTAAATAGAACAGTTGAAATAGGACTCATTGAGAAAGTGCTATTTGAGCAGAGATTTGAAGGAGGAGAGGGAGCAAGCCAAAAGCTGTCTGGGGGAGGGGCATTCTGGGTAGAGGGAATAGGCAGTATGGAAGTCTTGAAGCAGGGGTGTACCTGGCATGATCAAGGAACAGGCAGGAGGCCAGTGTGACTCAACAGAGGGAGCAAATGGAAGACTCTTGGGGTGGGGGGGGTAGGGGGTGAGGCCCATAGTGAAAGGGGCCAAAGCATGAGAGCCTTGTGTGCCATTGTGAATACTTTGCTTTTACTCTGAGAGATGTAAGGAGACTCTGGACAACTTTGAGCAGAGAAGAAACATGATCTGACCTGTTTTCAAACAGAATCACTCTAGCTATTATCTTGTGAAGACCAAAGAAGCAATGTCAAAGGCTAAGTAAGAGATGACAGTGACTTAGACCAGGGTGTTAGCAATGAAAGTAATGAGCACAACTGTCTAATAGAACTTTCTGCAAGGGTGGAAATGCTCTATAGCTGCCTTGTTCAATACTATGGTAACTAGCCACACATAGCTATTAAGCACTTGAAATGGAACTAGTGCAAATGAGGAATTGAATTTTTAAGTTAGTTTAATTTTTGTGCTTTTCCTAAGATTTCTCACTTCAGCCACTTCTTTTTTTTTTTGAGTTTTATTTAATTTTAGTTAATTTTAATTTAAAGTATACTTTATGTCAGAGTATACTCTAGACCAAGGATAGATTCAGTAGAGGCTAATCTTGCACAGATACCAGTGATACAAAATACCTGCAATCCTTACAGAAACAACAGAAGACACACATAGAGAAATCCCTCACAGACACCCAGACACTGGGAGAGAAATCCAACGGATCTACCAACTCAGGACCGTAGTACTGGGGGACACCAGACTCAATTGGCACAATAAATTACATAAAAGTCTTGTTCTTCATCCTACGTTGGTGAGTAGCGACTAGGGTCTTAAAAGCTTTCAAGCGGCCATCTAAGATGCAGCTAATTGTCTCCTATCATCGAAAATGAAAAAGAGTGCAAAAAAAAAAGAAAAACGGCATTTGGAAGCAATCAGCCCTAGGACACAATGGCCCTTGCGACCAAAAAAACTAGATGGTGCCTGGCTACTAATGCCAATCACTCAGGAAAGGATCAAATCTTGAGATCCTGGATAGAGTGGGAGGAAAATTGTGGGACAAAATCCAAAAACTCAATAATGACCAGAATGATGGGTCAGATGGAGTCTGGTGAGACCCTCAATACCATGGCCCTGAGAAACATTCTGGGCATGGAATAAAACTCACTCTCAAGGGCTGGCTCTCAATCCAATAGTAAACAAGATCTACACACAGACCACTCAACCCAGGGTGATGCACCCACATACGCTATGGAAATTCATCTGTTGGAGCAGTCAACCACAGGGCACCAGAGGGACAACATTCATATGAGGAAATTCAGGACACACAGGAGTGCATAACTGTGAGGGGCATGAGCGGGGAGGGTTACTGGACAGGGAGGGGAGGAGACTGGGTGAGGGTTAGGGATGGTAAATGGGGAGTGAAACTAAATGTACAAGTAATGTTGAATGTAAAACAAACTCTAAAAATTTTTTTTAAAAAAAAACTTTTGGACAGATTCTCTGACCTCAGGTGAGAATGCCTTACTCTAGGGGTTTAGATTTTAACATAGACTGTTGAAATGAGTTGTGCACAGCAATTATTATAAACATTAAATTATGGCTGTGGATCCAGGTGAACAGTGAGTTTTCTCCTTTAACTGTTTTTCTATCCTGCTGCAAAATGAAGTGAGTCCCTGCATGACTTTGTTTTCTCTGTACTCAACTTTGCTCATCCTGTTCCTTCCAACCAGAACAAATCCTTCTTTGAAAAAAAGCAAGTATATTTCATTGTATTGCTTTCACTTTTGGGAAATTGCTGCTTTTTTGGGGAGCGGGGGCACAGAGAGAGAAGGCTTTGAGATCTAAACAGAGTAAGCCTAGAAGCAGCACAAGCAGCAAGAAGATCCTTCCCTCTACAAGAACACTTGCCTGCTGCCTAGAAAATGTGGGCTTTGGGATGCAGATCTTTCATTACTCCCTGACTGAGCCAGTCCCTGGTCAGCCCAGGCTGATGACAGTGGTGCCAGGTGGGCGAAATGTGCTGTGTAGTCAGCTTCTGTAGCTGTGGGTGTGCGCTGACTTCTGAAAAACCCTCAGAAGGGAAATTTGGGGTAGATATAGCTGCACTAACTTTTTAAATGCTGGCAAGCCCAAACTAGTTTCCATCATGTTGTTTCCTTGTGGTCAACCCCATGTGTGTCGGGGAAGAACTGTGCTCCATTAGGTTTTAAAGGTGGATTTTTTGGAAGTAGATCACCAGGCCTTTCTTCTGAGATGGCTGTAGGTACACTTCAACCTCCAACCTTTCTTTCTGTTTATTTATTTATTATTGTGCTGTAGGTGCAAATTTACAAAGCAAATTTGTTTTACATTCAACAGTTCACGCACATTTGATTTCACACCCCAATTACTATCCCCAACCATAAAAAACTGTCCTCTTCTCCCCTCTCTGTGACTACCCCATCCCTATACCCTTCTTAACTATGCATTCCTGTCTGTCCAGTTTTCCCTCTATGTGAATGCTGCCCTTCTGGTGTCTCATGACTGATTGATCTAAGGGGTGCATCTCCCTAGAATCAGTGGATACATTGCCCTGGAGTAGGTGTTCTGCATGTAGGTCTTTCTGCTGTTGGGCTGAGAGCTAATCCATTGAAGTGAGTCAATTTCTAGGCCTGAAGGGTAACCTGGGGCCATAGTCTCAGGGGTTCTACCAGGCTCCATCCAACCAGTAATTTTGGTCATTTTTGTGTTTTTGAATTTTTTTCCACATTTTTCCTCCCACTCTATCCAGGATTTCCAGTTTTGATCCCTTTCTGAGTGGTTGGTTTTGGTAGCCGGGCACCATCTAGTTCTTGTTGGCAAGGTTGCGGAGAGATTGGAACTCTTGTACACTGCTGGTGGGACTGCAAAATGGTAGAACCTCTAACCTTCCAATTAGCAGCCAAATATGTTAACTATCTGCACCACCAAAGGACTCCAAATGTTGGCAAAAAGGAATGAAAATAGAACTGATGAAGTGAAAAATAATAAAAAGAGTATGTTCGTTGGGTGTCCAGTGAAGATTTTATTCCCTTTGAGTCACAGTTTTGCTTTGCT